CAGTACAGTACAGTACCGAGAGCCGTGCTGCCAGTACAGTATATTCCAGTATCGAGAGCTGTACTGGAGAGTGCAGTATTTTTATTCCAGTATCGAAAGCTGTACTAAAGCGTGCAGTATTTTTATTCCAGTATCGAAAGCTGTACTAAAGCGTGCAGTACAGTATATTATGGCCAAAGGTACTGCAATACTGAAAATACTGGCAGTATTGTACTGTACTAAACCTGCCCGTGCGGATAATGTTATTGATCAAAAATAATCTGATCAGATATTACACATAAGTACCCTCAGGAATAGAACAAGCGAAAAAAAGTCGGGTTTTCTTTTCACCGATCCGTGGAAAGTTGCACGACTTTTCCAATGTGTTGATAACGAGCCCTACCCCAGCTCGCCACACCGTTCTGCTACAAGAGGAGGATTCGGAAAAACCGAGCGGGAGAATACGCGAACAAATAATAAATGGTAAAATATTGACAGCAACGGACCGAAAGGGGAAAGGGGGCATGTGGCTCTTCCAGCAACCTGTCCGCCATGCGTCCGGGTCGGGAGCTTTTCGTTTGCTACTGACGAACCCCGTCTTGATTCTACGTGTGCTACACGAACTGACGAGGACATAGCAATGTATGTACCTCTAGTCACCGGACTTGTATGGATTGAGGTGGAAAAAAACAGGGACACCCGCTCTGTTGTGTGGGGATGAAAGACACGAGGTTATTTCGTATTTGTACGGCAACCACACTACCAAGGAGCCTTGGTTACACTTTGATAGTATCTACGAATCAATGTGTGAACACTACTCCTACCAAGGTCATGTTGTCTAATTTTCTTGATTCGTGTTTTTAGAAAGTAAACAAAACCTCACAGATTGTGTACCCTTCGAGATATACCCTCAGTCGAAAGTTGCCCCTCACATGTACTCGAGCCCGATCCCCTCGTCCTTGCCCGGCCAGGCGAGTATCTCCATGCGCGTCTGCCTCGCCGGCTCGGCCACGTGCTCCCACGGGTACATCAGCGCCATACTCCTCTGGTACTTGTTCGTCACGAGCACCTGCATCAGGCCGTCGCTGTCTTCGGCGGGCACATCGCCGTCGGTTATTCCCGCTGACCTACGCTCCCCGAGCTCCTGCAACAGCGACGCCGCCGCGCCGATGTCTCCTCGAGGCGGCTCGAGGTAGCTCTTTGCCCCCACCCAGAGCGCGACAATAGAGAGCGCCACTACGCACCTCAGCAACCCGCCCATAAGCCCTCGTCTCCTGCTTGTGTTGAGCCCCCCTCCAGTGGTGTTGGTGCTGCCGCTGCTGCAGCTACACGCAGCGGACTCGCCTTCATCGATCGGAGCGTAGCTATGATGACTGCCGCCGCGTCGATTCTGGTCCCAGAAGTCAACCCCCATACTTCTGGACCGATGCACGGGAAGAGCAGCAACACTTCTTGTTCCCCGCGGCGGCTTCCCCTCTGCCTCTTTGGCTATTGCTGCGGGGGTTTGTGCATCTGTAAAAAACAACGCAACACGTTCCCCGTGTGCCTGCCTGCCTGGCACTGCTCTGCACGGAGCTGATGCACGCTTTTATTTGTTTCTTGCTTTTTTTGTTGTTTGGCGTGACGGTGACATGGTCAGGCGTTCATTGGTTGGATGTTGACATTCCCGAAGGTAATCTGCGGAACTCCACCCGGATCATCATTGTCCGCAGATCACACAACACACCCTGCTGTGTTATGCTTGAGATACCGTGAACGACAGGGGCGGAGATGAAAACTGCACCACATGAACCTGTGCGCTCTGGCCACCGTAGGAGTTTATAACTGTAGTATTTGTAGTCTTTCGTAGATGAAAAATTACGAGGGCTATCAATAGCAAATGGGTGTAGCGTGTGCCCAGGCAGGCGGGTTTGAGTCTTGAAGGCCGACAGCAGTGCACAACCATGCTGCCAACGACCACAAGGTTGGTAGTTCTTGTGTCCTCGGTTCTTGGAAGACCAAGCTATGCACGTTCTGCCTACCAGGTAGAAAACAGTTTAACGCACCACTCGACTTTTTCTTTTGGCCTCCGGTGGACGCAATTATTGCCGCAACTACCGTAGATTCCTCCCGCCCGCGCACGATAGGCCAGCACCCGCTTGATTTAAAACTGTTCAACTCATTATTCCTCTGTGTGAGAGGGCACAGCACGCCTACCGGCGGAACCAGTTGGGCCAGCCCTGCAGTCATGTACCCATCCGGCTGCCTCTGGACAAAGCCATGCTCGCGCTCCTCCTTCTTCTCCTTGGTGCTCTGCAAATGTGCAGAGCCTTGTCTGGTGCAGCAGTGGTGCCGTGCCGAGCTCCTCCGAAACATGCCACCAACGAACAGAAACGTGCGGAACGCGGAGTGCGCTAGGAACACGCGACACTCATCATACACGCCGGCCACAACTCATTTTCCTCGCGAACACACATGTCCAACAGTACACATCCACTCATGATTGTGCAAAGTATCTCTTCCCTTCAGAACACACAAAAGTCCACCACTACCGTTGAGTCTTCTAAATAATACACAAAACCTGTGCGATCACCGTTTACATGAATCTTGGGATCATCGCTCGGTGAGTTTAGCGTGGCGTCGAAGCCCTCTCGTACGCATACGTATCTCGAATCCTCGAAAACTGCAGTCATCATCATGGCGAGATGGATCTTGCGTGGAGGTTCTGGGCTGGTTTACCACTACAGTACCACCGCATGGCTCCTAAAAAGCGTAACACTGCTCACTGCTCACATAAAATACGAATCCTTCACTCACAACAAACGAGCAAACCTCATCCTCCATGTCGTCGCACCGTCACCCCGCATGATTACATAATCGAGCGGGAGCGCAACCCTAACATCGTACCACAAACTTGGGGTTCCGACCCGATCGATAGCAGCCATTGTTCCACAAATTCCCGCCCTTTCCGCGTACAAAAGCACCACAGACCTTTGCCACTCTAAACTCTCTCCGGACTTATTTTTCTCGAACTTTACCCGCCGCTCCACGCCAAATTTGCTACAACACCGTCGTTGTGGCATCGAAATGCTGGTGTTGTTGCGCTCGCGATGGCCAGCGCCAAGAAACAAGTTTCACCGCCAACTACGCACAACAAACATTTTGATTCCGTCCTGTGATAACGACATGAGGTACAGATACTGACGCCCCCCCCCGCCCTCTCACCAGCTGGGCCCTCCTCCCCCCCCCCTCTTTCACCAGCTGGGACCGTTGTCATTTGCAACACATTCCTTCGTAAATTCCGAGAAAATTGGTTGTGTTCCTCTTCACACTATCACTTAATGGTACCAAGTAGTTGATTCACACGCACGTCGCGCCGCCCTGGATGCGCGACCGCCGCCCCTCGCATGTCATCGCCCCTGCTACCCATTGCTATGCCACCCACTTATGGGTACTGCCTGCCCGCTGCTCACGCAAAATGTCCACAACACCTATTGTCATTTCGGCAGCCATTCCCTGAAGAATAACAAAAAATATTCTTAAAGGTGCAGCTTCAGCGCCGTGCTTATGGTGCTAAAATGTTTGGGGCCAACCCGACCTGGGTTCCTCGGCCACTAGTATCTACACATCTCACCCCGTACGATGCGGTTTGTGCTTGGTGTCTTACCCCGCGACGCCCTTCCTTCTCCAACCCCCTTCCAAACTAAACTACGGAGAACATCACCATGCCCCCGAACACATCGTTGCCTAATCAAACAATACGAAACTTTCAGTTTTTTACACTTCGTCGTCGTTCGCTATTTCTTCCGCGAGCTTAGCCGCCGCGGCCGCCGCGTCCACCGCTGAGGTTGCCAAAATCTGAACACCACCGCCTCTTTTTCTCCGCGCCGTCCCAACCGGCCGGAGGTGCTCCTGCCCCGTCCTGCCCGCTGATGGTGCTGCCCCTCGACCATCGGCTGCGCCGTAACCGTTACTTCTTCTGCCGCCAGCGCTAGCTCTCCCGGACGCGGACGAACCCGCCCCAGCGGCACCAAAGGGCCGCTCATCGTCGTAGGAATCGCCGGCGGCGGCGCCGGAGCCGCCGCCGCTGCCGCTGCTATGGCTGCGGGCGCGCGGCCTTGAAGCCTCCTCGTCCTCGTAGAACGTGCTTGCCATGCGGTGCGACGGGGAAGAAGAGCGAGGGCCACCGCCATCACCACCGCCGCCGCCACCACGGCTGCCGCGGCTGCGCCCCCTCCTCCCTCGCCGTGTCTCTTCCGCGTCACCCCTGGTGGGAAATATAAGGCGGCGCCCCTCGCCGGCCGCGCTTGTGTACCCGTACAGCTTTCCCTCTGAGAAGTCCGGCCTGGGCGGTGGACGTTGGGGGGTAATATGCACATGTAGGATAATTAAGGGAACGGGTATGCGCGAGGACCACCTTCGCGCAATGATTAAGTGTATGAGGAACAGAACAGACATGGGGAGTACGCAGACCCTATCCCTCACCCTATCCCAAACCGAATTTCAACGATTGCATACTTTATCCAACATGTTTACATAATCGAAAAATTCTGCCAAGGCTACCCATGCGCGAGGGCCAAGAACGGAAGCGTGCCACAATTTCGAGGGACAGGAAACGCAGAAAAAAAACACAAGCGCGTTGTGCAGCCTTTCAGGTCTCATCAAGCCTCGTGAGGGGTCCCGCGTCCCGACATCGGCGGGCATGATCACAGCGGACAAAAATGGCCAAGCATGAACCAAGCGCATGCGAAATTTAACCCAAAACAAGACGTACGGGGGACGGCGCGCCACGAAAGGCCCGCCAACGCGTCCACACGTACTGTACATGCCGCCCCTGTCAACGTGAAGACGAGCACCTTTCATCATCTCCGGGTGACCCATCGTCTCCACGGAAGCAGCAGAAGCAACAGCAGCAGCACCGGCGGCGGAAGCCACGCCAGCACTGCGCCGCCCCCTCGCACAGCGCTCCGAAGACGCCCCCGCCGAAGGGCAACCTCCACAGACCTTCCACCTTCCGAACGATCAGGGTCGCTGCACGAGGTTCGCAGGAGCGGCGGCGTCGGCAACGCGCACGGGGTGCAAATAGGCACGAAGAACGACAGTCACAGCCATAAACAACCCAGTATCCGCAAAGATAAGCACTGGAACACGGGAGCAATGCTAGCATTCCTCGCTCGCTGTGTAGGTCAGGAACCACTTGCGTTTTTGGAGGCAGTACCTCCGCCGCAGGTCGTGGGTGTCTTCTGACCATCCATGTCACAGAAGAACAAAAAAACACACGACACCACAGCAGTGCCTCGGCAACACAGGTTTTGCACTGCCACCCAAAGCCAAAGAACGCGTGCCGCAGCGGACCGCAGATATACACAACCGCGAGACGAAGGAGAAGACGGAGCAATTCAAGGCAACATTTCCCATCGTGTTCCTTCTCACTCACCCGATGCCACGTACGACACCAAGATGCCAACGAGCGCAGCCATGATGTACACTACCACGGTCCACTTCCTGTTGCCACCGCCTCCAACCGAGGGTTCCGTACCTTCTGTCGTCGGATCGCCGCCAAAATAAGATTCCTTCGAGATCATCGCCGGTGGAGGGTGTGTAGGGGGGGGGTTACTCACGAAAATGCATGCGGTGGTCGGTAGAAAATAGACCCAAGGCATCTCTGCAACGCCGGGCCGGAGCGATAAACCGGGTTTTCGCCGGCCCAGACTACGGCACGTTTCACAAGGATGAACCAGAAGCTGGTCATCATCCTTGTGTTTGCTGGTAACCAACCCGGATATGTATATATATATATATATTTTATTTTTTTCTCCCATCATTGAAATCTGTCGTCTGCCCCTCTGGTTCCTATCCTCCACTTCTACCAGCTAGATGACCCAACCGGGGTCACATAGGAGGGAGGGGGTTGGACCCCCTCCTGCGGATATATCATGGGTTGATTGGTGGAGGAGAGGAAAAGCCTCTACGTCGGAGAAAGTTACAAGAGTTTATCACGACACAACCAAGGGGGGGGACGCAGCGGGAGTTCGCGAAACTCCCTGTCCTCCGGAGTTCGTAGCCGCAAGCGCACCCTCTTATCGAATCGGGGGCTCTGAGAATGATCAAGCGGTGCTTCGCCTCACCAGACACGGAAAACCAACAGGCTCTTCACCCAGCAGCGGCAACAGCCCCAACAGTCCAACATGAGTGCGAGTTCCAATGCACGCGGGGGGCTCGCGGCTGTAAGACACCCCACGGCGAGCTTACCTCCTCTTCATCGTGCGGTGTGAATGCTTGGATGCTTCCGTCTGGGCCGGGAAGACCACACACCTTCTGCAGCTGATGAAGAGATTTCCCTCCCTGTGGAGGCAGTGTGTACGCGGGGGGGGGGNGGGGGGGGGGGGGGGGGGGGGGGGGGGGGGGGGGGGGGGGGGGGGGGGCGTGGTTAATTGCTTGATGATATCATCGATCGCAGTGGCCGGTTGACCATATGCCAGCAAGTCCCAGGGCGGCACAAAACGGAAACGGAAAAAAGCCTCCAATCACCAATTACCATGATGTGGGACCCCGTGTGTGTGTCTTTGTTACTAGCATCGATCGCGGTAACTGGCTGACCAACGAAAAGACGCCAATCTCAGTGCGGCAAACAACGAAAACGCGTAGAGAGGCCACGAACTCGGACCCCGTGAGAGGAGGATCGCGGGGGAGGCTGCTTGGCAATTCGTCGGAACAAAGACAGAACCGGCCGCAGATGTGTGCGTATATGTTATTAGCATCGACGGCGCGAACCGGCCGACCAATCAAAAGACTTCAGTCACAGTGCGGTTGAGAACACAAAAAGGACATGATCTGGGATAGATTTGTGTGTGCGTGCGAGAATGGGGGAGGGGGCTGCAGTTAGCCGTGGTGTGAAGGGACACCTGGCCGGGTAGTGGTCGGCAAAACGACCGCGAGGTAGCGGTATGGAAGAAGCGCACGCGCGGGTCGGCGTGAGTGTGAGCACGGCTTAAACGGAAGAGACCAAAATCACACGTTGCTACCGCATGAGGGTGGGCACGGCAATGACAATCAAGGAGAGAAACCACGCCTTTGATTCCCCGCCCGCGAAATTGTTCCCGACGAAGTCGTAGCCTATCGCCACGGCTACCACCTCAGCCACCACCAGCAACGGCAACAACAACCCGTCGACTGCGCCGTGCGACTACTCGGAGTATTAGCTAAACGAGCAATCACGCGGCCTAGCCACCAACCAGCCCAGCGTCTCTCGCGACGACCCGGCGCAACAAAGAAAGACAAGAAGGCATCGCCAACGACGGATCATCACATCATCACCAGCTTCTCACCAGACACGCCTCCATGCCACCTCGCTTCCGCCTCCGCCACCGCAACTCCCGGACGTCTCTCGACACGCCGACANTCACCAGACACGCCTCCATGCCACCTCGCTTCCGCCTCCGCCACCGCAACTCCCGGACGTCTCTCGACACGCCGACCCCCCTCCCTACCCCCCCCCCGACGAACGCCGACGCCTCCTCCGCTCCCGAGCCCCCGCTAGGCTGGAAACCCGGGGACGCGCTGTCAAAGAACCAGGCGGGGGATCTACCCACAACCGTCGTTCCCGGGAAAAAACCGTCCGCCTGAGTCCAATGATTTCGTAGATGCATTGGACAAAGGTCGTGGAGGGTGAGGAAGGAGGAGGAGGTTGATCAGTATGCTGTGGACCGAGGACATTGTCTCACCCCCTTCAAGCCTAGCTAGGGGTGCCTACCGCCTAGACCCAGGGGATGTTCTCGCGGCCTTTCGACCATCGGCAACAGTGCCTCTCCTTCGGGACAAAGCAACATTTCTCGTTCCATGCCGGGTGCAAGAGAGTCGCCCGATGTGGAGCAGCTGGAATTGCATCTCCGTTGTTTCATCCCATACCATCATTCCATCTTTCCCGTGTTTGTGTTCGCGGTATAACGGGGGTTGGTTGTCTGTTCCCTCTGCTTTCGACCTCGCGGAAACGTGCATTACTTTTGAGGGACATTGATCTCCTAAATATGTGTGCCGCTACGCCGCTCTTCCCCGTTGGAATTCGAACCAACACGGCTCGGCAACTCTTTTCACGGCTCTCGGTGGCATTTACTACAATCGTTCCGCCACAGCAACCGTGCGTTCAACAATCTCTTCTCTTTCAGCGTAGTCCCAACAGCCAGCGCCTATCGGTACTGCGTGCCTCTATGCGGAGTCAATGCCGATGCTGCTACAGATACACCGGTTAGCGTGTCAGAACTCGTCTAAACATGGAGGACAACAACGACAACAACTGACAGGTAGTAAAAACAACCTCTTGTCCAAGATATTGGAGTTGATCGACTGCTGTGGTGCACTCCTCCTGAAATCGTGCTGAGGAAATCTCACCTAGGCGATCGATTGAAAAAAAGAAAGAAACATGGACAACGCGACGCCTTCCGACCCACCTCGTACGATATCCAGCACAGAGTGCGGCCGTCAAACACATCTATTTTCCCCGTCGCCCCCACAAACGCCGCCACCTCTCGAGAAAAGGAAACCCCTTGCGTTGGCCCTCTTTTTCGCGATGGAGATAAGAGAGAGAGGGGCGGGTGGGCGGGCGGGTGAAAAGAGTGAGCAGGCATTTGAGGGTTGGGTGTAATCGCAGAAATGGCGTGTGCGAATCGAATCAACGATGTCCCTCAGCATTCGTGTGTCTTTCCGTCGAGTATGAATTATGATCCATACCCAGTACCTCCAAGAGTTGCTGTGCCGCTTACTAGTGAAGGAGCACCGGGCTCCTGCATGGCATCTAGCGTTATGGCATATCGTGGTCACAGGCCAACCTAGAGAGCCAAGAGCCACAAGCGCGGGGAGTTCGTTACCCCTCCTGGCGAGAGCTGCTGCCAACAAAACGCGGAGTCTTCGCATCAGCAGCGGCGCAATACCTGACGGTTGGCGCGTCCATCCTGGGCAGCACCCTTCGCTCGTCGAAGTCGAAGAGGTCTACCATGGATGAGTCCCCGGTGTTCGAAACGCCTCCCGTGAACATCCCCACAGTTCGCTTCTCCTGCTCTCCAAAACCCGGACAACAAACAGACCAAAACAAGCACACAAAAGGGCAAAAGAAAAATGGGAAAGCCCGCTAAAAATCAGTTGCGCGCACTAGAACAAAAGCGCAAAGCAGGGAATCGGGGAACATTTCGACACGAAGTCGCGACTCAAATGATTCAGAGGCCCACAATAAATTACCATAGAGAAGTGGGTACGGGGGCACGAAAGAAGCCGCTTGTATTTGACCACACATCAGAAACACTGAGGTACCGCCGCGCCGGAGACTACGCCCGCGGATACTAAAAAAAACTCGCGGTCCTGCCGTCGAAGACAGACCAGGTCAAGAAGGGACGAGCGTGAAACCGTCGACNCGGGACGGAGCACGCCGGGTTCTCACCGGACCAGGCTCTCACATCACCAAGCGCGAAGCGCCGTGAGATATTCGGCGAGTCGCATGAAGGGTGCGCTGCATCCTGCTAAGGGTTTTCGGCATCATGAGCTTACTTCCTTGCGTACGG